AAGGAAGGAAGGAAGGAAGGAAGGAAGGAAGGAAGGAAGGAAGGAAGGAAGGAAGGAAGGAAAGATGGCACTCTTAAACGCATTTTGTATTAAAGATTTTTTTTCACTCCTGTGGATAAAAAAATTCCTCCTTTTTATGAGATAAAGAGGTGCTTTTTTTAATGGAGGATTTTATAAATAAGTAAATGGAATGCCAGTATGTGGTTGTGGATTGAATTTTGGTATATTTAAGGATGAAGGATGTTTTAAATAACTGTAGTCAAATAAAAGTGGGGGTAGGATGATGTCAATATAGTAAATATTTGAGTTAAGATATTTGAATTAATCTGAATTATACTTGATGACGGTGGAAGAGATGCACAAAAAGCTTTTTTGTAACCAGCTGATATACTTTTTACGATATATGTTTCTTTTGGAAATGAATAAATAAAAATTGTAATTTAAAAAAAAAGGTGCTTTCGAAAGGTGTTTTAAGGTGGCTTTTTAAGGCTTTTCAACAAAACCTTAGGAGAAGGTTAAAAGGAAGAGAGGTTTGCAAATGAACCGAGTTTATTCTGCAGTTTTAAAAAGCCTGCCCTTAAATGGAAATTAAGATTCAACGCCTGGCGTTAAGGCAAGCCGAGGTGTCAAGTTGCAATCTTGGGATTCGAAGACACAAAGGAAAAACAAAGATGATTAATTCCGAAGCTTCTACCTCACCAGGTGAAACTCACAAACCACCCCCCCAAAAAAACTGGCTCAGAGGGAAAATAACGACACAATTTTGGGGTTAGGATTCAGGTTGTGAATCAGGTGAGGCAGAATCCACGGATCCCAATTCCGGTTAGTCCTCGGCTTACGACGGCAACGGGGCCCCAGATATTTTCTCCCGCTGAGCGAGACATTCGCTAAGTGAATCTTGCCCGGGTTTTTACGCCCTTTCCTGCCACCGTTGTTGAGCGAATCGCTGCCGTTGTTAAGTTAGTCGGACGGTTGCTAAGTGAATCTGGCTCCCCCCGCATGGCAGAAGGTCGCAAAAGGGGGAAATCGCACGACCCCCTGGGAGGGGGACACCGCGACCGTCATAAATCTGAGTCAGCTGCCGAGGGGCTGAATTTTGACCGTGTGAGACCAGGGGGTTACTGCGACTGTTGTGTGAAAAGTGGTCATAACTCACATTTTTAGTGCCGTTCTAACTCTGGACAGTCATTAAGTGAACTGTCATAAGTTGAGGACTGCCTGCACGCAGAGAGAGACGCCCTTAATGTCGCTTCCCCAGGTAGAGAAAATCTCTTTTCTTTTCCACCCCCTTTTAATTTTCTTCCTTTCTCTCTTTCTCCCTTTAAATTTCCTTACTTTCTCTCTTTCTCCCTTTTAATTCCTTCCTTCCTTTCTCCCTTTAAATTTCCTTCCTTCCTTTCTCCTTTTTAATTTCCTTCCTTTCTTTCTTTCCCCCTTTAAATTTCCTTCCTTTCTCTCTTTCTCTCTTTTAATTCCTTCCTTCCTTTCTCCTTTTTAATTTCCTTCCTTTCTTTCTTTCCCCCTTTAAATTTCCTTCCTTTCTCCCTTTAAATTTCCTTCCTTCCTTTCTCTCTTTCCCCCTTTAAATTTCCTTACTTTCTCTCTTTCTCCCTTTTAATTCCTTTCTTTCTTTCCCCCTTTAAATTTCCTTCCTTTCTCTCTTTCTCCCTTTTAATTCCTTACTTTCTCTCTTTCTCCCTTTTAATTCCTTCATTCCTTTCTCCCTTTAAATTTCCTTCCTTTCTCCCTTTTAATTTCCTTACTTTCTTCCTCCCTTTTAATTTCCTACCTACCTACCCATCCTCCCATCCATCTTTTCTCCTCCTCCTCCTCCTCCCCAAAATCCAAAATTGACTTTTCTTTTCCAAGACGGGAGAACCGAGTCTAGCTTGCCTTGATTAAATTTTCTCCCACAGATAAAGATTGATTGCAGAATTCCGCCCCTCCTTAAAACCGAGGCTGATAAGCATATCTGGATAGTGTCATCTCCTGAAAATGCACTTGGGTGTCTCTTATCTCTTGTCTCTCCTCCTCCCCCCTCCCTCCCCCTTTTATTTTCCTTGGCCGTCTGCATTTTCCCACCCGGATTCTTGGAATATTTACAGACTCTCTCTGCTTCCAACTTCACCCGACGACTTGGCAAGAAAAAATTTACCTTCCCTTCCCCCCCCCCCTTCTTTCTACGTTTAATTGCATTCCTTCCTTCCTTCCTTCCTCCTCTTTCCTTAACTCTCAAAGTAAAAAAAAAAGAAGACCTCTGAACATGTACAGAGTGCTTGCTCTTCTCTCGTGCCCGGGTGCCTGACACCCGGATTTCAGGCGTTGCCCATTTGAAAATAAAAAGAATTTTATGGGTCCAATTTTTTTATAGACTTCGGTCTTTTTGAAAGAAACTTTTTTTTGAAAAAAATCTGAATAATCCAGCTCGTTACATGCCAGAATTATTAGCTGTAATTAGGAGATGAGAAAGAACAGCTTAAAAAAAAAAAAGAATAAGGCGATGAGTGAAAAGCTTTCAACAAGTTGGGTAGAAGTGTTTTTTCTATTTAAATATGGGCCTTCTCAGACGTTCAACCTGGGGATTTTAAAATTATAGTTGTTATCTCCCAAAATAAACCAGTTCCCCAGTTGTGAAAGGTGTGCAAAAGTATAGCCTGTCTTCGCCCTCCCTAAATTTTAGGATTTTTCCGGCTGCTCTTATTAACTTGAGGCAAATCCACAAATAAATCCAAATTTAATGGATTTATATACCGCCCAATCCCGATGGACTCCGGGCGGCTTACAGGATAAAACTCTAAAAAAGATAAAAATTAAAAATAAGGAAGAGAAAACAGATTTTTTTTAAAAAAATACACCTGGTCCTCGACTTAACGACTGTTCAAAGCCACCGTTCAAAGTTACGACACCACTGGGGAAAAAAAAGTGGCTTACAACTTTTTTCCCACGGTCCGCGCGATTAAAATTCAGACCCCCCCCCCCGGCAACCGATAACATATTTATGACGGCTGCAGCGTCCCGGGGTCGTGTGATTGCCACTTGTGACCTTCCTGGCTGGCATTCCGATGAGCCAAACCCACGAGGGAAGCCGGATTCACTTAACGACCAATATTCCACTTACCGGCCGCGGCAACAAAAAGTCAGTCAAATCGGATGCAGCTCATTTGAACAAGCTCCCTTGTCCAGTCCCAACGGTGTCGTA